TTCTTTTAAAGTTCTGGACTTTCTACTTGTCTAGTTAATTGTTCAAGTTGACAACAATTCCCTCATTGAAGTCTGAACCCTTGTCTTGGATGCATATCACTTGAATGATGGATCTCCACCCATAGACATTTTTTCAGGAACTTTTAATTGATTTCCCTCTGAGCCAATACTTTCCTTTACTTGTCTGCTGTGTTAAAACATACATGCTGTCACAAGTCAAATTGCCGTTCTTCCTGCCAGTGGGTACTAATAACATAGAAATAACTCTTGTTTCATCCTTCTCACTTCTCTATTATTCTGCAACATCCATCTCCAATGGGATTACTGTTGGTTGCTAAGTGCCCCCCTGCATCTGCTGACACGACTTTCTAGAATAGTTTTCCAAAGGAGTTATTCATCTATATTAAGAAAGAAATTTGTTTCATGCAGTGGCAAGCAGGATCAAGACAGCAATCTGCTCCATCTGGCTTTGAGCCAGACAAAAGCAGCTGGGGCTGGAACTGGTTGGAGAGATGGATGGCTGTCCGGCCATGGGAGAACCGTTTTCTTGACATTAATCTTAAAGATGGAGTTATGATACGTGACAATGAATCACCTGAGGGTAAGAATGGCACCCAATCACAGATAAAATCTCTGGGCAAGAAACCAGTTCTGTCAAATCTTCCTTCCAATATTTCAAGTCAGAAAACCGTGCCTTCTCACTCTGATGGCAGTAGTTCTTCACCTGGAATTTCAGCAGGCATGCTAGAGACATCCAAGATGAAGTCAAAGCCAGCTCTACAAGATCTGGTTGAGGAGGCCAGCTCAAGACCTGGTGGTATTAGTTCAAGATCCCGCAGCAACCCCAAAGAGAGATCAACACAATCAGATAAATTCACAAAGAAGCGGTTATCTCTACCTAACAGTGGTGAGCTCTCTGTCTCTCTGTCTCTCTCTGTCTCTCTCTCTCTCTCTCTCTCTCTCTCTCTCTCTCTATCTCTCTCTCTCTCTCTCTCTCTCTCTCTCTCTCTCTCTCTCTCTCTCTCTCTCTCTCTTTCTCTCTCTTGAGTCTCTGTCTCCAAATCCAAACAATACATTATCTGCACTCTGATAAGATATAAAGGGAATACAGTTACTTTTTTGGGTCAGTTGGTCATATTTAATATTTACTGGGGAATTATACTTCGAAATCAATCTAACCAAATATATGGAACTTGTAATCCAAGACAAGCACTTCTCTATATTATGTTAGTTCCAGATATGGATAACAATCCATATTTCGGAATTTCGTTTTTTCTAATGAATATCATTGCCGCTAGGTCAAACAGATGAAACTTTTGGAGCTTTAATACTCCTTAGTCTACCAGTATGCTGTGTTGGGGTGTTAATTTCCTTCACGAAGTAAATCAAACTTGCATGGATGTGTAAAAGATTTAATTGTTTTATTTG